TCCTTCCCTCCTATCCTCCTCCCAAACCCCACCCAGGCTACCTTGTCGGTTCTCTCCCTATGTTTATAATCAATTAATAAAGAAAACATGATTTTTAAACGATAGTGACTATTTCCTTTAAAAGCAAGCTGTGATTTAAGGGGGGAGGGTAGTTTGCTTACAGGGAATGAGTCAATCAAGGGGGCGGGTTTTCAACAAACAGAACTTTCACACCGTAGCCTGGCCAGTCATGAAACTGGTTTTCAAAGCTTTTCTGATGCACAGCGCTTCCTGGTGTGATCTTCTAATCGCCCTGGTGTCTGGCTGCGCATAATCAGCAGCCAGGCGATTTGCCTCAGCCTCCCACCCCGCCATAAAGGTCTCGCCCTTACTCTCACAGAGATTGTGGAGCACACAGCAAGCAGCAATAACAATGGGGATATTGGTTTGGCTGAGGTCTGACCGAGTCAGTAACGAGCGCCAGCGACCTTTTAAATGTCCAAATGCATATTCTACCACCATTCTGCACTTGCTCAGCCTGTAGTTGAACAGCTCTTGACTCCTGTCCAGGCTGCCTGTGTATGGCTTCATGAGCCATGGCATTAAGGGGTAGGCTGGGTCCCCAAGGATAACTATAGGCATTTCAACATCCCCAACGGTTATTTTCTGGTCCGGGAAGTAAGTCCCTTGCTGCAGCCGTTTAAACAGAATAGTGTTCCTGAAGACGCGAGCGTCATGAACCCTTCCCGGCCAGCCCACGTTGATGTTCGTGAAATGTCCCTTGTGATCCACAAGTGCTTGCAGCACCATTGAAAAGTACCCCTTGCGGTTTACGTACTGGGTACCCTGGTGCTCCGGTGCCAAGATAGGGATATGGGTTCCATCTATCGCCCACCACAGTTAGGGAATCCCATTGCAGCAAAGCCATCCACTATGACCTGCACATTTCCCAGAGTCACTACCTTTCGTAGCAGCAGCTCAGCGATTGCTTTGGCTACTTGCATCACAGCAGCCCCCACAGTAGATTTGCCCACTCCAAATTGATTCCACACTGGCCGGTAGCTGTCTGGCGTTGCAAGCTTCCACAGGGCTATCGCCACTCGCTTCTCAACTGTGAGGGCTGCTCTCATCTTGGTATTCTGGCGCTTCAAGGCAGGTGAAAGCAAGTCACAAAGTTCCATGAAAGTGCCATTACGCATGCAAAAGTTTCGCAGCCACTGGGAATCGTCCCACACCTGCAACACTATGCGGTCCCACCAGTCTGTGCTTGTTTCCTGGGCCCAGAATCAGCGTTCCATGGCTATAACCTGCCCCATTAACAGCATGATCTCCAAAGCGCTGGGGCCCGCGGTTTGATAGAATTCCATGTCCATGTCCTCATCACTCTCGTCGCTGCGCTGCCGTAGCCTACTCCTCGCCGCCTGGTTTTGCAGGTTCTGGTTCAGCATAAACTGCACAATAACATGCGAGGTGTTTACAATGTTCATGACTGCTGTCTTGAGCTGAGCGGGCTCCATGCTTGCCGTAATATGGCGTCTGCACTGTTCACCCAGGAAAAAGGCGCGAAATGGTTGTCTGCCGTTGCTTCCCTGGAGAGAGGGGGAGGATGTACCCAGAACCACCCGCGACAATGTTTTTGGCCCCATCAGGCATTGGGATCTCAACCCAGAATTCCAATGGGTGGAAGAGACTGCGGGAACTATGGGATAGCTACCCACAGTGCAACGCTCCGGAAATCGACGCTAGCCCCGGTAGATTTAGACGCACACCGCCGAATTAATGTGCTTAGTGTGGCCGCATACATTCGACTTTATACAATCTGTTTCCAAAATTCGAATTCTGTAAATTCGGATTAATCCCGTAGTGTAGACATACCCATTGTTGCAAGAAAACACCTACAGCCCTAAAACCAGGTCACTGCTTGAAGTAAGAAATGATTTTCAGCAATATTCTTTTAAAATGTAGCTATTTAGAATTAAATCAAAATATATTCCATTACTGGATTTAGGATTTTAGGACTTGATCCTCTGTAATGATGAGTCCCTCTTTGTGACTCCAAGTTAAATCAGTGGAAACTGAGAACCCTTCGAACCGCACAGGATTGGGCCCCTAAAACAGGTAGGAAACCACCCAAAACTTTTCAAGTTACTTGTGGGAAGAAAACAAACAAAAAACTTGATTCTGTACACTAAGCCAAATACTGAGATCCATATTTATTTCTTCCTAAAGAAAGTAGTGGTTATTGTTATTTTTTATTATTATTATTTGTATTATGGTAGCATTTAGAGGCCCCAGAAAAAAATTGGGTTCCTTTGTGCTAGACATTGTCCAATGACAAACAGTTCCTGACTACTCAAAGAGCTAACATTCTAAACTGACAAAACAGACAGAAAAAAGGAAGTGTTACCATCATTTTAACGAAGGGAAACTGAGGCACAGAGAGATTAAGTGACTTGCCCAAGGTCACACAAGAATTCTGTGGTGGAATCAGCAACAGAATTCAGAGGCTCAGCCTGTGCCATAATAACCAACCATCCTCTCGTTGAAATCCATGGAAGTTTTTTGTGAGTTAGGATGTCAGGGTTTCGCTCACAGGAGAGTCAGAATATGAGAAAAAAGCTATATTATTTCAAATAGAATATCTGCCAAACTATCCAATGAGGCATTAGCTGCTCTTTTACAAGGACAAAGCATTATTGTGGTCTACTTCATTTAACTGGCTAGTGATCTGCAAAAGGAAGTAATTGTATTTGAGACGCCTACAGCACCATGGCAAAAAAGATATTAAAAACAGACCAGTAATAACTTATCATATTTTGTCTTAGAACCATTTCTTTTGTGTGTGGTACAGCAAAATTTGTACAATGTAGTCATATCAAAATAATTACAGGGACAGCTGATAGCAACCCCTATCTATATTTAGCTTGCCTTATGCTCTCCCCTCCCCCCATTATAAAGGATTTTTGTGACTTTTTTTAACAAGCTCTAACACCTACACTGTTTGCAACATGCCATTGAAATTCAGAAGGAAGACAGATCTTGGGCTAGAGACATGTCTTTTCTTTGTTCCATGAAATTCTGTGCAGATTTGGCTGAGATACCAACTATTAAAAATTGCCATTTCTTTTGTCACACTTATGTTCTGTAGGAAAATGTTGGCAGCATGCCAAAATAATAACTGAACATTAATGTTCTAAGGCTGGGGTTATACAAGATGCCAAAGCAGCAGCCACAGCAAACACTGTGCTGAGAACACATGGAAGGCGGGTACTGGGACTGGTCTCCTTGCTCCAACCACACCCTCCCCTAAACATGACATCTGGCTCCAGCAGCTCATCGATCCTCTGGAGGTACCACATGGGGCATGAGCTCCCTCTACCTCCCAGAGGTGAGTGGGAGAGACAGAGCTGTGCAAGGTATAGCAACAATTTTATTTGCTACAGTAGCAACTGCCTACCCTACGGACCCAACACATGGCACCAACCAGCTTAGCCCATTCCTCTTTTTGGATAACGGCCTTCTCCTGTGCTGGCCAATCTAGTTAATCCTGTAGCTCAGGTGGTCCAACAAGAGCACCAGCATCTTCAGGGGAAGAACAGGGCCTTCCCTCACTCAGCAGGGAACAGCCCCTCACGCAGCCTGAGCTCTGGAAACTTCTGACTTGCCAGCCCAGATGAAACTCCACACACGGTGAGAGGGGTTTCCTGCTTTCTCTGTCAGGTGGGCAGGGAAACCCTCCCAGATGGGTGGAGTTTCCGCCAGGCTACAGGTAAGCAGCATCAATCCTAGTGAACAAGACACCACATAAAAAACGTGATTTAATTGGCACTTGTGTTGGCAGTCTGAGAAAAGACGACAAGGTTTGAAAGGTCAGAGATTGAACCACCCTAACACATCCCTAGAGCCCTATCAAATTCATGGTCCATTTTGATCAATTTCATGGCCAATTTCACATTTTCAGATGTTTAAATCTGAAATTTCATGATGCTGTAACTGCAGGGGTCCCAACCCAAAAGGAGGTCATTGGGGGGGGGGAGGGAGGGGGTGCAAAGCTGTTGTGGGGGGGCGTTGCACGATTGCCATCCTCACTTCTGCACTGCCTTCATAGCTGGGCTCTGAAGGCAATACTCATGGAGCTTCCCGCAGCCGGAGGAGGTTCCCAGAGGTCGGTCTGATCTCCCCTGTGCTACTGGGAGTGCCCCAGCCAGGGGTTCCTAGCCCCGGCCAGGTTGGGGAGGAACAGGACTTCCTCTTCCCCTACATGGCCCTTGTGGGCGGGGGGGATCAGACCCACCTCCGGGGGCTTCCTGCAGCCGGAGGAGGTACCCGGAGGTGTAGGTGGGTCTGATTTCCTCCCATGAGTGACCGTGCAAGAAAAGAGGAAGTCCCATCCTTCCAGAACCCAGCTGATTAGCAGCTGGAGCCCCATGAACAGTAGATGCCTGCAGCTGTGGCACCCCAGCCCTGCCCTGCCCATCCTCCCTCCCTTCTTCAGCTAGATTTCACGGGGGAAGTCTGATTTCACTGTCCGTGACGTGTTTTTCAAGGCCGCGAATTTGGTAGGGTCTACACATCCATCTCTCCAGAACAGGGCTGAGGCACACTGGCAGAGAAAAGTAAGGGGTCTGTGCTGTATTCTGTCCTATAGATAATTAGAAGTCTTCAACTCTCATCATGAGCATTAGATTCCTACGTACATTAGAATATAAATACACACACAGCTGGTTACCCTAAGGTATAAGGAGCCAATTTATGTTAATCATGTGAAAAAGAGTTTCACCTGAATTTTACTAGTCTATAAAGAAGAGTGTTTAATATCTTGATAACAGGAATATTTGAGAAACCAATGTAAGATCAACTATTCATGAGCAAAGAGTTATTTATGTTAACCCTTAAGAGTCATACATATCGGTGATTTGCTTTACAAAGCATTAAGAGAGTTAAATAAGCAATAAGCAAACTTTTGAATAAATACTTTAACAATGTATTTTTTTCTCAGTTGATATGAAATGGAAGCTCACCTCCTCATAAACTTTCTTGGCATTACTGTTATCTCCTATTAAGAGGTAACCCACTCCAAGGTCATTCTTCAATGAGATATCATTGGAAAACAGATGAACTAGTTTCTGAAGAGTAACCAGAGAACCTCTCATGTGACCTAATTTGATTGAATAAAAGTGAATTATAACAATTATAACAAGAAATAAATGCTGATCAAAGAATTGTGTACCCCAACTTTCATTAATGATCACTGATGATGCAGAACATAAAAGAGGATTTCATTACATATGAATACATTTAACTAGTTCATTCTCACCTTACAAGCAATACTTAAGAAATCTCCGATGGTATTGTACATATCTTCCAGGATTATGGGAGCCTCGAGTGGACAATTCTATGTATGGCAGTAATAGTAATAATACTTTACATTACAATTCTATGTATGGCAATAATAGTAATAATACCTTACATTTTTGTAGCTATTATTCTTCTGCAGATCTCAAAGTGCTCCACGAAGTCAGGGAAGCACTTTAATTCAAATTTTGGTCCTGATAAATCAAATCATTTAAGCATGTTCTTAACTAAGCATGTGAATAGTTCAGTTGAAATCAATTGTTTCACAGGCTTAAAATTAAGTATGTGCTTCACTGTTTTCCTGCACTGAAGAACAGAGAAGTTAAGAGCAAGCCAGTCCTGAAAACTGATCCATCTGGATGGACTCTTATGCCTATTGAAGTCAATGAGGCTTTGTCTGAGTTCAAGGGTCAGCTTGGATCATCACAGGACTGGGACCTAAATTTGCAAAACTGCCCTCTAGTTTGGCAGCTTCAGTTTTGGGGTCCCAGCTTTAGTTCCTACAGTGTGATTATCAGAACCCACAAGTCCAGCTGAAATCAGTGGGAGATATTGGTGCTGCCACCACTGAATGTCAGGGCATTTGAGTCTAAAGTTAGGCAAGTTAAAAATTGAGGCACTCAACATTTATTTTTCAAAATGTGTGCATAAGGGATTCCTTTCAAATCATGTTGCATCAGTGCCAGTATGAATAAGCCTAGATCTCCTGACTCCCAGGTCTTCACTCATTCCACTAGACCACATCTTCTCTCCAATATAATACTTGGGGGGGAGGGGGAGGAGAGCGCACCTGAGCTCAGAATTTTTTTAAGACAAAATTCCAAAACACCCCAGATTTTTTTATGGAAGGGATTTTACATAGGGCTGTCAAATGATTACAAATATTTATTGTACTGTTAAACAATAATAGAACACCATTTATTAAATATTTGTGGATGTTTTCCACATTTTCAAATATATTGATTCCAATTTCAATACAGAATACAAAGTGCACAGGGCTCACTTTATATTTATGTTTATTATAAATATTTGCACTGTAAAAATAAAATATTTTTCAATTCACCTAATACAAGTGTTGTGGTGCAATCTCTTTATCATAAAAGTTGAACTTACGAATGTTGAGTTATGCACAAAAAAACCTGCGTTCAAAAATAAAACAATGTCAAACTTTAGACCCTACAAGTCTCCTCAGTCTTACTTCTTGTTCAGCCAATCGCTAAGAGAAACAAGTTTGGTTACATGTGCAGGCGATAAGGCTGCCCACTTCTTATTTACAATGTCACCTGAAAGTGAGAACAGGTGTTCGCAAGGCATTGTTGTAGCCGGCGTTGCAAAATATTTACATGCCAGATGCGCTAAAGATTCATATGTCCTTTCACAGGGCCGTCCTTAGGATTTATGGGGCCCTACGCAGTATTATCAAACTGGTGGCCCTATGCTCGACTGCAGGGGGGGGAGGGATGAGGCAGCAAAGGATACCGAGCCTCACGGCGGTGGAGAGTCTCAGTTCCCCGCAGAGACCCCCGTACCCTCTCCTTCATGCAGAATGCGCCGAACCGATGCATTCGGCTCTGTGAATAGGGCCCCTGCCTAAGGAGACTGCAGTGCGCACTGAGTGTGTGGGAGTTATCCTGCTCTTACCTGCTGTCATGGGCGGTGGGTGAAGCTGCCGCTTGGGGAGGCTAGCGCCTCAGCCCACCTCTTCTGCCTGTGGCCCCCGCCCGTACTCCACCCCTGCTCTGCCCCAGGCCCTGCCCTCTCCCCACTGTCTCCCTCCTCTCTTCCCTCCCCCACCCTGCTGAACCCCTTCCAGCCAAATCCATGAACCCAAATGAAACAAATGACATTTGAAAAAAACACACTTCTGCAATTTCTTTCTAAAGAAAATTGAGCATGTTTTCCACTGCATGCCAGAAGGTGAAGACTGGACATGCACAAGGTACCTAATTAAAAACACTAAACCTGGAAAAAAAAAATGTCAGTCACGGGTTTTTTGATATACCCTGAAGTCTGTCAGAGATTTATTTGCAAAAACTTTGTAGTAAGGGCAAGGCAGCTGTCCTGCTGAATACAACATTAAATATTATGGAATACATGATGCAGCTCTTCTCTGTTTTATATTTTCTTAATCAGTATTTCTAAGTTGATTTTATATTTTAAATGTACTCTTAAGCCTTCATAAAGTAATCATTCCAGATTACTACATACTTAACTCACTGAAACAAAGACATTATTTTAAATTAATCAGTCACAGAGGATAAGCGTGTTCATAACAATGTTCATTGCTTTTAGAAAAAGGGAACACTAATTTACTTTGTGTGATCTCCATAACAATAAACATGTTTATGAAATTTCACCAACTTTAAAATATATGTTTCCAAAGATTTTAGGCATAACAAAGGATTTTATATCTTACTAAGGTACTGATTTTCTTAGAGGGTTCTCTTAAAACTAGTTCATCAAATAGTCAGAAGTAAAGAAAGGGAAACTCGTTTGTCCAATGAAAGGGATGGAGAAAGGACAGGAAGACTTTGGAAGCAAGTTTTTTGTACTATAGTAATTAAAATTAAAGTGTGTATTTTAGATAAGGGTGGTCTTTTGAAGGATTTATTTAAAAAAAACTGTATGCAAGGATTTTTTAGAGATGTGATTTTATCATCTTCAGCAACACACTAATGAAATAGTGTGATTCTCTGATTCGCGGGAAGCAGGGGAGGGGGCGGAGCGTTCAGGGGAGGGGAGGAGGGGGAAGTGAGCTGGGGGCGGGGTGGAGAGCTGTGGCGCGGGGCCCTCTTGGCGCGGGGCCCAATTCAGCAGAATCGGCTGAATCGGCCTAAAGCCGGCCCTGTTTTCCAGTGCCCTACGCAGCCCGCAGCCGCGTATGCTGAGTATGCCTAAGGACGGCCCTGTCCCTTTGTGCTTCAACCACCATTCAGAGGACATGCGTCCATGCTGATGACGGGCTCTGCTCGATAATGATCCAAAGCAGTGCAGACCAAAGCATGTTCATTTTCATCATCTGAGTCAGATGCCACCAGCAGAAGGTTCATTTTCTTTTTTGGTGGTTCGGTTTCTGTAGTTTCTGCATCTGAGGCTTGGTCTACACTAAACCCCCAAATCGAACTAAGGTACGCAACTTCAGCTACGTGAATAACGTAGCTGAAGTTCGAAGTACCTTAGTTCGAACTTACCTCGGTCCACACGCGGCAGGCAGGCTCCTCTGTCGACTCCGCGGTACTCCTCTCGTCTAGCTGGAGTACCGCAGTCGACGGCGAGCACTTCCTGGTTCGACTTATCGCGTCCAGACAAGACGCGATAAGTCGAACCCAGAACTTCGATTGCCAGCCGCCGAACTAGCGGCTGGGTGTAGACATACCCTGAGTGTTGCTCTTTTAAGACTTCTGAAAGCATGCTCCACACCTCATCCTTCTCAGATTTTGGAAGGCACTTCAGATTCTTAAACCTTGGGTCGAGTGCTGTACCTATCTTCAGAAATCTCACATTGATAACTTCTTTGCTTTTGTCAAATCTCCCCAAGGAGTTCAGTCACAAATTTAATTAACACATTATTTTTTAACAAGTGTCATCAGCATGGAAGTATGTCCTCTGGAATAGTGACTGAAGCATGAAGGGGCATACGAATGTTCAGCATACGTGGAACGTAAATACCTTGCAATGCCGGCTACAAAAGTGCCAAGGGAATGTCTGTTCTCACTGTCAGGTGACATTGTAAATAAGAAGAGGGCAGCATTATCTCCCATAAATGTAAACAAGCTTGTTTGTCTGAGCGATTGGCTGAACAAGAAGTAGAATGGACTTGTAAGCGCTAAAGTTTTACATTGTTTTGTTTTTGAGTGCAGTTATTTTTTGTGCACAATTATACATTTGTAAGTTCAACTCTCACAATAAAAAGATTGCACTACAGTACTTTTATGAGGTGAATTGCAAAATACTATTTCTTTCAACATTTTTGCAGTGCAAATATTTGTAATAAAAATAATAATATAAAGTGAGCACTGTGCAAGTTATATTCTGTGTTGTAATTGTAATCAATATATTTGAAAATGTAGAAAACATCCAAATATTTAGTAAATTTCAATTGGTATTCTCTTGTTTAACAGTGCCATTTAAACTACAATTAATCATCATTCATTTTTTTTAGTTAATCACATGAGTTAACTATGATTAATCGACAGCCCTAATTTTAAAGTTTCTTTTATGCAGCTCAGAGTTTGGGGCAGATGCTTTTCATGACTATAATGATTAAGCTTCCATTGTTCTGTATGAAGATAGAATTATAAGTTAAAGTTATCAGCTGAAAAGTATGATCAACTTACAAAAAAGCCTATAAGAATTCAGATACCATGGTGATGGGCTACTTCATAAAAACCTTGACGCACAAATATACAAGGAAAACTGTAAAGATACCATCTGTATTAGACAATCTAGAGGTAGCCCTAAATTATCGATGAATGTACTGAGTACAGTTGTACTCTACCTCCAGTGCAAGACCCTATCCATTAAACAAACAAGTGATTTTTGAGTGAAAAGGTGGGTGAGGTACTATCTTTTATTATATCAACTTCTGTTGGTGAAAGACAGCTTTGTTGCTTACACAGCATTCTTCTTCTGGTATAAGAGTGCCAAAGCTGGCCTCTCTCACCAACAGAAGCTGGTCCAGTAAAATATATTAACTTACCCACCTTGTCTCTCTAAAATCCTGGGACCAACATGGCTGCAACACCACTGAAGACAAGTGATTTTTTGTCAGCCAACTGATTGGTTGTTTAAGACAGTTTTCATGTAGTGCTTTAACCCATGAGATCTAGCAAACCACACAGCTGATACACCATCAGTTAGGTATTCTGTGTAATACTTTACTGAACTTTCTGCTTCTTAGAAAGAGTTTCAATAGCAAGGAGTGTAAATTATGTTCATTGAATAGTTTAAATAAATAAAACTAAACAAATAAAACTGACAGGAAGCTTGTGAGCAATATAATAAATATGAGATTTCTTGTCAACAGAGTTATACTCACTAATTACAGTCCCGTAACAGTCCATTAACAGCTTCAAAATAGATTTTTAAAACCTTAAAATATGCATTAAAAATGATGGTCTGATTTTGAGAAACAGCACTTTCCCAAACATGCAGGGAGGAAGGACAGTGGCTAAAGACACTGGACTGGGACTCAGGAGAACAACAGCAACACCACCTAACTATCGTATAGTGCTTTTCATGAGTAGATCTCAAAGCACTTTACAAAGTGAAGATAAGCATCATTGTACCAATTTTACAGATAGTAAAACTGAGACAGAGAGGTGAAGTGAGATACCCAAGGTTATTCTGTTGCAGGTTCCCTGCATGATCATATGTAAGCACTTAATTTCTCCTTTCCTCAGTTACACCTCTGAAAATAGGCCTAACAAAACTTCCTTCTCCTACCTCTGTCTGTATAGATTGTAAACTTTATGAGTCAGGGACTGCCATTCACTATAGGCACATCACCTAGCACAATGTGGCCCAATTCTTGGCATTCTTGTAATCCAAATAACTAATAATAACTAACAGCATTTTAGGGGGAGATTTTTCAAAAGTACTGTATGTAAGGGACTTGGGTATACAAGTCCCACTGAAAATCAGTGGAACCGGTTGGTGTTCTTACTTCACTTAAGCACATTTGAATATCTCCCCCATAAATTCTGCACATTTAAGTCATACACATAAGCCATATTTAAATCTTACCAAGAAATTGCTGCCTGTCTGCTTGTCGTTTCAGGCTCAATTTTACCAGATCAGCAGGGACGTCTGGCAGGCTAGCCACCTCCTCAAAAGTATTGATGGCTTTTTGCAGTATTTCATTGCTTCTCATCTTCTCAGCTAAGTCATCCTCACACTAGGTGGAATCACAAAATTGTTATAAATAACAAATTATCATATAGTTTGGAGTTTAAAAAAATTTCTTTTTGAGTAAAGGCAAAATTGTATTATTCCTCGTTAATGTGTCAAATTTAACAAGTATCTTCGAGTGTAGGCAATTTTGGTGTGAGCTTGGAGCAGAACTCTAGTTGCTTGTGCACTCTGGCAGGTGGATTTATATCCAGCATTCATATATCCCTGGGAAATGGTTGTCATCATATGTATGAGAAATTATACATGCATAAAAGCACAAGGCATTTTATTCACAACCACCTACAGCTGATTCTTACTTCTGCATTCTCTTCTTGACAGGCATCCATGTAAATGAGATGAAACAGCATTCTTATATCAGAAGGTTTGTCATCATAGACCATTTTCTAATATATATAGATTTTGGGCCACATTTTCTGTTGATGGAACTCCATTGAAGCCATTGAGTTATTCCAACTGAAAATTTGTCATTTTGTATTTTTCAAAGGTAACATGCTAATGCAATGCATCATACCAAATTCTAAAAACTTTGTGGGTGATACTAGTTGAAATCAGAATTTCTCCTTTAAAAAGACAATATTAATGATATGGAAGGAATATGTTTTATACAGATCAGAGCTGTCAGTGGATAACGCCTAATTTTCTAAACTCTCCAGATGTTGCCTGATGAGAAAGTCAGAGGGCAGCCCCAGGAGCTGAAAGATACCTGAGCTATTGTTAAAATGATACCACCATTTGCCAGGTGCTCAATAATTTTCTGGTAGCTTGTGGCATCTACCTTGCTATAACAATAAATCTTGTGTTATTTAAAGACAAATTGTTACACCTTATCAGCATGGGAACGAGAAGGTTGGTTCTATAAGGCTTAGAAAAATGCTCAGAGCATTGGACCCCACCACTTTCTCTCCTCCACCCCAACGCCACATGGGGAATAGCAGCTGCAGCCAGGAGGAGCTTGCGAGGGGTGGGAGCAGACCGTGACAATTCCCAGACTCTCAGGACTCCTCCCTCAAAGCAGCCAGCACCAGCCAACAGCCAAGGTTCCAAGGTAAGGCCTTCTAGCTCCCCTTCCTGTCCCTTTCTCCTCTCCCAATGATGGGGAAGATGCCAGGAGAGCAACCTTCTCAGCCTTCTGACAGCATGAGAACCCTGGATATTGTCCCCCTCATTTGCTGTGCTGCTGTTGGCTGCTGCCCTCCCAGCCTCCATTCAGTTCTTCTTCCACCACTGGAACCCTTCTGGTCCTCAACCTGCTTCTCCCTGTTCATCGTGCTTTTCACCCTTACCTCTTCCATTTATACCTTGCGCTCGTGCAGTCTCACTCTTCCCTTTACCTAGTTTCTCCTCTTACTCCCAACAATTCTTTCCTATCCTCCACTTCAACCTACAGTAGTGATAGAATTCTACTAGGAATGTTCCATGAACCTCATTTTGTTTTTCAAGTCTGAAAGCAGACTTATATGCATATTGACATGTAGGGTGAAATCCTCGCTCCATCGTAGACAATGGCAAAACTCCCATTGATTTCAAGAGAACCAAGATTTCACACCTAGCATGGAACCTCTCTCCATTGTCTGCATATATTTTGCTCCCCAGTTTTCAGTAGTGAAACAGAGCTAGACTGATCTCACATACTTAATTTTAAAAGTGTGGATATTAATTTATATGCTTTCTATGCTGAGTCAAATTAGTAGTGTTCTATGAGTCCTTCCTAATATCTCCTATTTTTATTGGCCTGTGTTCCATTCATGTTTAACTAATTAGCTCGACGGGGTAGGTGTTTTTGTGCATCACAAGCACTTCAGTAATGGAAACATATATAGGTCAATCAATCTGGATTCAATGTTTTATCGACTATGCTGGCATTAATTAAAAACGTTTCAATCACATTAGCTGCATATTGTTGCTGTCAGTGGTTAATACCTAGCAACTCTTTACATACAGGTTTTTTTTTAAGTTTGCAATGTTCAATGAACTTCTTTGTTTATACAATTAATTCAGCACATCATGACTGGTTGGCTCAGGCTCACTATTCTGAAACTGAAAGGGGAAAATACCATGCAATATGGTCACATCAGCCAAACATTTGATTGGTTTGTCCCAGAGACAAACTCAGAAATCAATAGTTAGGAATAATTCCTTTTTTCTTGATGGAATACCCTCTAAGAAACTGGCTTATTTTCTGGGATGCAGGATAGGGAAGGATGTTTAAGGAAAAAATATATAGCAGGAAGGAACAGCTGCCATCGTATGCCATCATCTATCAAATCTCATTGATACATATCACATCACATGTCATTTGGAAAGAGCTCTGAGATCTCTGAGGATGAAAGGCACTACATCTATGTAAGATATTATCACTACAATATAGCAATTCTGATATGGTCTCAGCCACGCCAAGAAATCAACCTAGAAATTGCTTGTACTTTGGGGATAATACCATAATTATAACTGCTGTTGCAGAAATTTGGGGAAAGGAACATCCACTCCTTTACAATTTTCAGAATAATAAGAAAAAAAACAAGCCCCACCTATCTATTAGAGGCAGAATCTGGCCAGTTCGTATGTATTGTATGAAGTCAATGGTGCCTTCATAATGCAGGAGTGAGGACACTCTTAGGGTGAAATCCTGGCCTCCTTGAAAAGTAACAGTGTCTTACAAATAAAATTATGTAATGGCAGTCTTGGGAATGATCCATAGTACTTCAGCGCACACCATGATTGTCCAACTGCTTTTTTCCCAAGGCCCCCATTCTCCACTGAAATCAATAGGAGTTCCATCAATTACTTAAAGGTGAGCATGCAGAAGTAGAAAGTTAATGCCACCGAGCCCCTGATTACAAATTCCATACGTAGAATACAAGGCTGCCAAAAGCAGAGATGCACCTATAAGTAGTTACTTATGCATGTCTGAGAAAAGAGTGCTAATTATGACATTAGGTCCTGATCGTCAGCCCCTTTCAGAATCATACTGCTACACCAAAGTGGTCCAAAGTGACATTAAAACTGCCTTAAAAGTGCAACTGAAGTTCCCAACATTTTGAAGGAAATCTTGGATGTTAAAAAGTCAGCATAGCTGGTTTCATACCACCTGCTCCCAGTTTAAGGGGTGCTTTGGGGGTGAGGAGAGGCCCATGCCAGGAACAGGAGAAAGCACTATGGCCAATCCTCTGCCAGTGGAACAGCTTATAGGGAGTAGGTCTACACTAGAGTACACTGGAGCAGCCTCTGGCTAGCCCCAGAATAGTAAATAGCAGAAATGGGATTTAACATTAACACTACGCTCTGCCTCCTGAGCCATTAGACTTCTTTCCCCATTTACACCTGGACAACTCAGTGGGGTAACAAAATGTCTTTAGCTGCAGACAAAATTTGGCCCAGTACTTCACTCACACACACACACAAACATACATACACACACCACTTTGATTGAAGATGTGCCAAAGCTGATCTCTAAAAAAAACTCTCTCTCTTTTTTATAACTGCAGCTTCAATCTAAGTGCAATGGGGGTAAGTATTAAAATCACCATTCCCTCACACTTGTACCAGTTTCATCCAAAGTCCCCACTGAAATGCAGGCTGCTGTTGGCTTCAATTTTAATTCTTCTGTAATGCTTCCATAGACATTTGATACCAGTTAAACCCTCCTCCTGCTGGCCAGCAGACTGCTTTAGCAGCAAGAGAACTACTATTTCAGTGTGGCATTTTGTTAATGCTTTATTTAGTGTTATGGAGTCTTGTTCTGTTCTGACTGTTAAGCTCCGTGAGGCCGCCTAAGAATAGTGCCACACACACATTTACGGCATTCTATTATACTATGAGGAGTTACTGTTTAAAACATTTGCAAGCATTAATTTACAGCTCTGTGGAAGGGGTTAATTCATAAGGAAGGGAAATATGAAAAGCTTGTTTAATAAAGAAATCTGTTCTTAACTGAAGCACCATCGCACAAATGGGGCCAAATGTTCTGCTGGTGTAAAAGGGTGTAGATCCATTGACTTCAATGGAATTTCATCTATTTACATGATCAGAGAATTTGGTCCATTGTACACGTGTCTATGCACTAGGTTTTTTGGTAGTTGGGGCTTTGGTTTTAGCATAACTGTTACGTACCAAGTGAAAACTGATAGTGACTCCAGTTCAAATGCCTCATTAATTGTAGCACAGCACAACTTTCTTTTACTGTGATGGTTTCACTTGACTCATCTTGATTAATATGAGTTCAAATAGATTTTTATTACACCTATTCCTGTGATTCCCCCATGCTTTATGAAAATAAAATGATTATTTCTGTTTTGGAGTTATTGTATCAAGGAACTAAATTATTATGAAGTCAGAGCTTGTTTTCCAGTGTCTTTATTTTCAGGAGGAGGATGCTTGAAATAGACAAGTGGGGGGGTTTAACTTAAAAACTGGGATCACTGTATAGAATACAGAAACAGTCTGTTTTGTACACAGGACTCTATTATTAGATAACCTCTGAATATTATTTTTACATTTACAACAGTTTCACTGGTACCTGTGCTTTCCCATATCTTGCTCGTGGACTCTGTGGATATTTGCTCACTAATACTTCAAAGGCCTTCATAGCTTCTTCAACTTTTCCCTGAAAGGAAGATATTTATACTAAATATTTTCTGTATCTTGTAGTAAAACACTTACAGAACCCTGAGTGATAAATGGTGTAATATGATTAGTACCCCCGATTCTATAAAACAAAGCAGAAAAATATTTCATATGGTTAATTAATAGGTTTTTCTCTTTCACACTATCTGACCAGATTGCCTGCTTATTCCAAAGAAATGCATTTTTATGAATTCATATAGGTCAATATAATTAGCTGCTCTTGGTTAAAACCAATTGTTTTGTTTTGTCTTACAATGGCTAAAAAAACCCTTAGATGGATTAAAATTGTACTGTAAACCACTAGACACTAAGGTGAATCACATTAGACCTTAAAAAGTAAATTTGGTCAGAAGCAGTTAATCAAGGAATTTAAAATGCAGAACAAGAAATAGCTGACTGTAGCTAGAATTTTCACCTCAGCAGAGCAGAGTTGACCAAAGTTTTGCCTTGCCCAGATGTTATAGTAACCTAGGCTTTTTTGCAATGGATGACTTCAATGACCACATGGACAATAGCCCCTCTGGGTTGACTATATATAATGACTGACATGACAACTATGATCCAGTCTAGTTTTAAGGATTGCGATTACAGGAGTGAGGATTACTGCTGTGTTATGAGCTGAACATCACCGTCTCTCATTTGAAGTGATGGCTCACTTCTGCTCCTGTTAGGGAATGAACATATTTCATTGGTATACCCAGAGAGATGATGGATCCAACTAAAGTGGTTTCAGACATAAATAAGGAATGTATATACCATACGTCCAGTAGACAAGTCTGTTGATTATTTAGTGCAGGGGTGGGCAAACTTTTTGGCCTGAGGGCCACATCGGGTTTCTGAAATTGTATGGAGGGCCGGTTAGGGGAGGCTGTGCCTCCCCAAACAGCCAGGTGTGGCCTGGCCCCCGCTCCCTATCTGCCCCCCCTGCTTCTCGCCCCCTGATGGCCCCCCCGAGACTCTTGCCCCATCCAACCCTCCCCATTCCCTGTCCCCTGACCGCCCCCAGACCCTCCGCCCCGACTGCCCCCCACCGCCCCATCCAACCCCTCCTCTCATTCCTGACTGCCCCCCCCCGGGACCCCTGCCCCATCCAACCACCCCTTCTCCCTGACCGCCCCCAGAACCCCGCCCCTGACTGCTCCCCGCCGCCCCATCCAACCCCCTCCCCATCTCCTTCCTGCCCCCCCAGAACCCCTGCCCCAATTCAACCCACCTGTTCCCCACCCTCTGACCACCCTACCCCCTAAGCACCATGCCGAACTCCCCTGCCCCCATCCAACCCCCCTTCTCCCTACCTCCTTACTGTGCTGCCTGGAGCACTGGTGGCTGGCGGTGCTACAGCCGTGCTGCCCAGAGCACCAGGACAGGCAGCCGTGCCACCCGACTGGAGCCAGCCACGCCACCGCGCAGCACAGAGCACCGGGTCAGGCCACGGCTTTGCTGCTGCGCTGCCCGGCAAGAGCTCAGAGCCCTGCCACCCAGAGTATTGCACCGGCGACACAGTGAGCTGAGGCTGCAGGGGAGGGGGAACAGCAGGGGAGAGGCTGGGGTCTAGCCTCCCGGGCCAGGTGCTCAGGGGCTGGGCAGGAGGGTCCCACGGGCCAGATATGGCCCGGCCGTAGTTTGCCCACCTCTGATTTAGTGTGATATACTAACCCTTAACTCTTCACAGAAGGCAAGGTGGCAGCTTCACCCAAAAGAGCAGCCATTAGGCTGGTACTCGTGAATCCATCTTCTGATGCTGAGGATCTTGCTAACAGTTGCCCTGTCCCTAACCTGCATTTTTACATAAGTTAATAGAGAAGACAATGACAATGGAACTTTGGGATCATTTGGAGTCTTCAGATTCAATTATTTTCTCTACAATGAATCTGAGTATGGGACGGAGTCCACAGAAGTTTTGCTGGTTGGAAACTTCTTCCCAAAAATGGACAGCAATCAGACGTCCAGGCCGATTCTTTTATATCAGCAGCCTTTGATGTGGTTGACTCAACTTTGGCCCTGGCACAGATGGACAGGATTGTACTTGAGTATTCCAATTTCTCTCCTTCTTGGGGGGTGAGGGGAGGGGGAAAGAAGCTGAGTGATCATGGGGCACTTTGATTTGAGTGACATATGCTGGAAGTCTCATGCTGACAGTACTAAAATATTCCTGGAATTTCTAAATATTATAGTTTCCTAACTCAAAAAGTGTTGCAGCCAACACAGGGAAATTCTGTATTAGACCCTGTAAGAGGAACCGATCACAGAACTAAAAATTAATGGTAACTTGGGTACAAGTGATCATGACTTGACCATGTTTATAATGTGCAAACAGAATAAAGTCCAGACCAGTGATATATATTGGTGCTTTAAAAGGGTCAATTTTATAAAGCTGAAAACCATTATGAGCCAAATCAGCTGTGAGGAAGAATTTAATCAGAAAAAATTGAAAAACTGGGAATTGTTTAAGAACATTTACTAGATACCCCAAAAGCCACAATCCCACATTTGAGAAAAAAGATCATATTGGTTAAAAAAAATGGCATGGTTTAGAGGAGTAGTGAAGGCAGCTCTCTCTCTCTCTCTCTGTGTGTGTGTGTGTGAAAACCAATGGAAAAAGGGGAAATTGAAAGTAATGAACATAAATCAGAAGCCAAGAAGTGTAGAAAAGTGATAAGGAAAGCAAAGGGACTAAAGGAAAAATCTATGGCCAGAGTTAAGGACAATAAGGAGAAGTTTTTAAAGTATATTAGTAACAAAAAGAATCTTAACAATGGTATTGCCCCATTACTAGATGGAAATAGTACAATCAATAATAATGCAGAAGAGAAAGAAGTGTTAAATAAATATTTCTGTTCTGTAATTGGGGAAAAAACAGAAGTTATCACATTACCTGTAGTAATGTAGCAATATCATATGATAACACTTTCTATTCAACTAGTATTGCAAAAGGTTGTTAAACAGCAGCTATTAAAGTTAGCCATTTTTAAATCAGCAGGTATAGATAACTTGCATCCAAGAATTTTAAAGAACTGCCTGAGGAGCTCACTAGACCATTAATGTTGATTTTCAACAAGTCTTGGAATACCAGGGAAGTTCCAGAAGACTGGAAGAAAGCTAATGTTGTGCCAATATTCAAAAAGGGTAAACAGGTCTATAATTACTGGGTCATCCTATCTGACATCCATCCTGGGCAAGATAATGGATGATATGGAACTCTATTAATAAAGAATTAAAGGAGGTTAATATAATTAATGCCAATCAACATTTTTGATGAGATTACAAGTTTGATTGATAAAGGTAATTGTGTTGTTATAATATACTTAAACTCCTGTAAGGCATTTGAGTTGGTACCACATGACATTTTGATTAAAAAACTAGAAAGATAAAAAGTAACATGGCATACATTAAATGGATTAAGAGTTGGCTAACTGATAGGTTTCAAATGTAATTGTAAATGGAGAATCATCATCCAACAAGTGTGTTTTTAGTGGGGTACCACAGGGTTTGGTTCATGGCTCTGTGCTATTTGTCACTTTTATTAATGATCTGGAACAAAAGATAAAATCATCACTTATAAAGTTCAGAGATGACACAAATAATGAAAAGGACAGATGATCTCAATGTGTTGGTAAGATGGGTCCAAGCAAACAATGTGTGTTTTAATATAGCTAAATGTAAATGTATACACTACATACAGCAGCTGGAGGAGACAGCAAGGCAGTTGAGCTACAGTATCATTATTATGTGGATGGCACACAGCTCGTTTTCTCTTTCTTCAGCCCCATATGGTACAGTGTTTTTGCTTTTCCAGATGCGGGCTGAGCTAGGGGCTTGGACGAGGGTGAAGTGGATGAAGCTCCAGTCACATAAATCAAAAGTAATCCTGGTTGGTTGAGAATAGAATATAGATGGCTTCTGCCTCTATGACTGAGTGAGACTGCTTATCTTTTGTCAATAAGATTGCAATTTAGGTCTACTTATGGCTCCCCAAATGCTCCTGGAATCCCAGGTGGCCGTGTGCTTTTGATGTGATGATTGATCAGTTCTCTCTCGTGACCTTCCCACCCTTATCCTGGCCTTGATATTCCAAACATTGCACTAGTTACTTATCTGAGTGCAATTCAAGATGTTTGTATTGATTAGAACTTGTCAACATTTTTTAGACAAAAAGCATTTTGTCGAAAAAATGAGATTTCAGTGACAAGGAAATTTTAGGCAAAAATATTTTGTTGATATAAAAAATATTTTGGATTAAATTTCAAATGAAACATTTTGACTTCCATATTTTTCATTCAAAATGGTGGGGGGAAATCAATAAATCCCACTCTCCCTTTCTTTTTAACTTTTCCTTTCCCCCACTGGAAATGAGTTGGGGGAAGAGTTAAAAAGGGAGATAAAGTGGAGTTTTGTTCTTCTCTTGCACCCCTCTCTCAGTGGAAAAGGAAGAAAGGAAAGGAAGAAATAAAAAAAGTGAGCGGAAGTTGGATTCTTCCCCACCATTTCAAACAAAAACAAAACAAAAATCAAATTTCAGTGGAAAGAAAAGGGGAAAAAATGTAAAAGCTGAAAGGAGAACAAAACATGAAAATGCAATTTTTTTGGTAATAAAATGAAATTTTTAATTTTGTTTCAAAAGATCTCATATCCAAATTTTCATTGATAGACAAAAATAATAATGAAAAATTGTTGTTGTTTTTTTTAAGTTCATTCAAAAAGATTTTGAGGGATCAGATGGTACCCACAAAGAAGATGGTTGCCTAGTTTCAGACTTCCTCACTGCCCACATATCAATTTGTCTCTAATAATTATTTTCCAAGCAAATTGGCAATAAGTGTCATCAAAGTTTCAATTAATCCCCTAGATAAACTTCAAATTGTTGACTATGGATTCCAGTGGAAAAAAAATGAGAGGCAACAAAAGACCTAAGCCTGAATCACCTAAGCTGAAAGCTAGACTGTAAGGTCACAGCAGAACCTAGCTCAGGATATCACGGCA